GGCAGCTTATTGCAGACCGCAAAAAAGGCTATATGTACTCACCAGCAGCTAGTTGAAAAGCAAGTTCTTCTTACTATAATCAGGTTTTCAATGGTATCAACAATATAAATAACAGCAAAGTAATACCAGAGAATTGCTAACTGATCGCAAACAATCATTTGTCTTCAGCATTAAAAGAATCTCGCGCGGCAGCCTCCTCAAAAGCTCTGATATTTGAGATAAGTACTGAGAAGCATACATCTGCAAATGAAACATTGAGGGACGTTCAAGCAGTGATAGTTGTAAATTATGATTTATATACCATCCACATCAATCACATAACACAAGAATTTAATTACAAGAAGTACAAATCTCCAAAGTGAGTTGCTCTTTGTGAGTGAAAAGTTCTAATACACACAAGAATTTAACAGCAACACTGTAACAGCACATAACTCAGGTCTCAAATAATTACAAAGTAACGTGAAGCACTTATGCAATTGCAAGAGCTCACCTGCAGCTCTGAACGGTCACTTTCAGTGCCTTGTATAATCAAATGATCAACAGCTGGGTCAATGACCCTATTCCAAGGCCTCATAGTAAGAATCCCTGCAAATAATGCATACAAGTCCTCTCCAGCACCTAACTTTGCACTATAATCTTTTATTGCATTGGCATCAGAAAAAATCAACGCCTGCAACAAATCATAATGAAAAAGAAAGCGCGGTAAAGAAAGTTGCTACAATATGGAAAAGAAACTAGTTCAATAAAAGCAAAGGTGTACCTTCCACAGTGCAGCATAGTTAGTTCTGGTCTCGGGGTCAAGATCTTTATACAGACCGTGGTCTAGAAGTATCAACTGTGGTTCTTTCTTCCCTGTACATGAGAAGTCGGGGGAAAATAATTGAATGAGTCTTGAATATCTAGTTATCTACATATATTATATTTTACTATTATGACCGCAAGTACACAGCAACTTTGTGACACATTATAGTCAATAGTGTGAGTCTTGAAGACCCCAAATATGATTGAGAAATACACAAATATACTACTAAACAGTTCATCAGCAGCATTACAGTCATCCTTGTGATCCAGAAGCTTAGCATGATAAAATATCATGAATATGACAAGCCAACTAGCTCTCAAACAAATGAGGTGGGACAGCATAATACCATTGAGCTAGGTCACGGTTTACTTCTAGTTGTGCTTAATATAGAAAGAAAACTACTATAAAATTCTCAAATGACAGCCTCTGCAACAAAGTAGATTCTCACCTAGAAAGCTCTTTCCACTACCAGGCAGAGGACGAACTAACAAGTTGGCAGCATGGGGGTCACAATGCACAAACCCGTGTTTGAACATCATTTCTGCAAAAGATTCACTAACCTGCAAAAAGTACATCAAATCTTACTTCTTTTTTCTCACTAAATTGCTAAGATTACATCTTTATACGAGAGATGAAGCACAAGTTATTTTCCTTTTTGTGGTCCATTGTTTGACATCCTTAACATGTAATCAAAATAATGAATCACACAGGGGAACAGGCGTCCACAACCAGCCTTTGTGGAGGGTCTATATTTTAGCTTCAACCTTAAACCATAAAGCTATGGTTCCAATGTCCTAAAACCTTAATTAATTTTGCAGTCAAATCAATGTGCAGTCATATAACGGACCTACTTCTGTGGTCAACTTATGGTCAATGGGATCGTTTAGAAGAATGAGTACGTAATTTTGAATGGGGCAATCAATACTTTTACAACATGATTGTATAATATAGATTGTAGAAACATGACATGATGCTCATAGACTTACAAGTCTTGCAACTACATCAGGGCGAATTCCAAGTCTTTTGATGGTCCTCACATCATTTACTTGTGCGCCATCTATATATTCCATGGTCAACAACTTTGAGGTACTTAAACTCCAATATACCTTTGGTGCATATACGTAAGCCGCAATATGAGGAGAGAACTTCTTGAAGTTTTCCAAGCATTTCTCACTGTTCTTGGCCTCGTTTATAAAATCTAGTTCCTGATTTTCACAATCACATGCCAACAAATGACAACACATCTATTGAAAATACTAGGCAGCACATATTTGTATGAGAGAGAATAACAACAAATGTCAAGCTAAGGCCCAAACTCCACATGTTTTTTATCACTACAGTGGCATATTAGGAAGGAAACAAACATTTCGTGCCAAAAAGATTTTATGAACATATAAAAGTTACTAATAGACAATTAGACATACTGTAGAAATATATTTCTAAAAGTGTATGAAGAAGCCAATCAAGGGATATAGAAATTAAAACAAATTACCTTGGGTAAACTTTCCTGCATCTCCTCGATCAACCACCTGTTAATGAAGGCAAGAATGAAAATACAGCAATCAGTACAGCAAGATTATCATGGTGTTCATCATCTTATCAACTTGTAATTAGATGAGAAAATAAACAGGTACAACAAGTTTAGTAGAACTACCTGTAATCAAAAGAAGGAAAAATCTGGTGCAGGGTGTTTACAATAAAGTTCACAGTAGCACAGTCTGCAGCTGCAGTATCTGTCATGTGAGTGTGCTGAACCTGAAATTTGAAAATTATTTGGGGCAGGAAAGAAAACTCCGATAAGAAAGACGCATGTTTCAAAAGTTGAATAAATCTGAAAGACTACTTGATTGCACCTAGCAGTAAAAACCCTTATAAAATTGACAACGGGGACCTTCACAGCCACTTTTTCGCCATTATGATTGCGAGCAACATGGACTTGTGCAAGCGAAGCACTTGCTATTGGAACAGGATCAAATTCAGAAAAAATCTGCATTCATCAAAGCAAAAATGATCAAAACCTAAATGTAAGCTAATAGAGAATCGAGCATTTAAGAGAGCTTAATCTTAAACCCATACAACCAAAATCACATACTTTATCGGGTGTATCTCCGAGCTCTTTCTTGATGACTTCGCACACTTGTTCGTATGAAGAAACCGGACATTTGTTCAACATGGACTCCCTCATTGTCTGGACATACTCTTGAGGTACCAAGTACTCCTGTACAAATTACAAAATCAAATTAACCCAAAAATAATCAGCTCCATTGCTTTCAATCAACGCATAATGTTCCAAATTCAGATTGATCATTTCGAATTCAAATTCGAAAGCTTACCAGCTGCCCGATATGTTGACCGAGCTTGATATATATTCCTCCATTTTTGAAACACAATTCTTGAAGTTTAACTGCAGACCTAAGGTGAACTTCATGCTTAGCTTTTGCCCTCTCACTGCTTCCTTCAGGAAGTCCCAGCAGTGAATACTCATAATCTGATTACATACAAGCGATTTCAGGAGCCATTAGAATCAAATTTTCAATTAAACTTAACAAATCTGAATAATTAAGCAAAAGCTGCGTTACTAATGCTCGATTTAATGATTACAACTTTGAAATGGCGACGTATTGTAAACCCTAAACCCTAGAATTGACATTGCTTGGGGACAACGGAGAGTTTAAGAGGCGGAGTGGGACTTACCGAACGCGATGGCGGCGGCTGTCACGGCGTCGCGAACAAGACGTGGGGGAACGGTGGTGTAGAGGTTGAAAGTCATGGCGGGGTCTTCGGAGGTGGCGGCATTCGCCGCCGCACCGCCGCCGACGAGGGCGGTCGCCGACAGTGCGAGCTTCGTGGCTCTCCACAAGGATCGCGTGGCCATGTGGGTGGGCACGTTGCGTTGCAAAATAGGGGGCGAAATATGCGAGGGAAATCAATATAAAAGGCTGGCGACGGTGACGTTTCGTGAGTTTACAAGTCTTAGTTTTTTTTATTATTTTATTGGTTTGGTGAAGTGGTTGTTTAATAAAAAGAAAATTAATAGAAATGATTTGAAAATTTTAAATTTTAACGATAAAGATAAATAAAGAGTATAGTAAATAGTACCAAACTTGATTTTTTAGGATAAAAATATGATTTTTTGTTAAAATAAATAATACTTGAAATTTTTCGTTAAAGTTCCCTTAATAAAAATGATCTCGTCGGGGTCCTTTTCCTAGGAATTATGGGGATCTCGTAAGATTGTTCATCGTACGTCGTACAATCAATTTTCGTTAAGTACTATTTATATTTAATTTTAAAATAATTTCTGACCGCATGATATACGATGGACGGTTCCGATTACGGAATCCTCAGGATTCCTAGGAAAATGATCCAGCGATGATCCTTTTTATGTAGCTATTGGGATGGGCCGGGTTTGCTTTGACATAATCCGAACTTAGTGGGCTGGGTTTGGTTGACTTTGGGTCGATTTTGGCTGGGCTTGGTTCATTTTGTCTAAATACTTCTTTTCTTCTCTTCTTTTTTTTCCCCAATTTATAGACACAAGTAGTGAAATTCTCAATTTAAAGAAACAATGATGTTGGACTGGCCAAATTTATTGGTAAAATATGTTTACCAAATGATGTGTCAAAGTATGTGAGAACTCATTTATTATTAGTAATATATACGGTTTTCTTTGTTTGTCAAGTTAGTAATATATATGTTTTAAACTGCACTTAAATGCACTTAAATTTAATCAATCAAACACTGTCACGTCATTTGGTAAACAAATTTACTATTTATATACAATTACTCTTTCTTTTGAATTATGAATAGTTTTGCTTTGAAGTGTGATAAGATATGATTATCTGTATGGATGGGGCTCCTCCTCATTAGTTGGATGAATCTTAGTTGTTCTCCCTTGTTGAAAGAACAATACAAAATTGCACGCACTCCATTATTTGGAATTTAATTAATTTGAAAACATCTCCCTTAAAAAATTATTGTGTTTGCACAGCTAGCATACTATCTTTGTGAATGACAAAGGAGAATGACAAGAGCCAGCCAGGTGAGTCTTTTCGAAAATCTTATCTTTACCATTATACTTTAAAAAACGCAAAGGTTCATATAACTACGTAACATGCCAGTGGCGGATTTAGGTTTCAGAATTTGGGAGGGCCAAATGTTAAATACAAGTTTTTATAGAAACAAAACGCGAAGTATGTAAAAAAATTTCAGTTTATTCAATGAGCATTCCCTCGAACACTTGGTAGGTTTGTTATTATCAGTCAAACCATATTGTACACATGTGAACATATATGACATATCCTGAAGCAATATGATGAGGATATAGAGAGAATTTGTCGAGCGTTGTGGAAGCAACTTGTCGAGATATGGTAAGCATACATACATAAATCACTTGGTAGGCACAAAAAGGACCCTGTGGAAATTTTCAGGTCGACGGGCCGAGGGCCCACTCCAACAACACCGATACTGTCCCCACTTAACCACCTGCACAATCCTCCGATACTGTCCCCACTTAACCACCTGCACAATCCTCAGGTGTGGGGTTTTATCACAAAAGGCCTCGATGTTAGTTAGAGAGGGGTATTTCTATTTAAAACACTCTTCTCTTCTCCCTCTGTCCGATATGGGACTGGGGTTCCAACACTCCCCCGCACGTGAGACCCCACTTATGGGTCACACGTGAATTTCCACACATCGGCAACCACGTGGAGCCATGTCGAGACTCACCCAATCACGCGGGGCCAATGGGGACCCACCCAAACACGTGGCATCTTTGGCCTACGTGGACAATCACGCGGGGCCAACGGGGACCCACCCAATCACATGGCAGTACGGACCCGCCTCCTGGCTCTGATACCATGTGGAAATTTTCAGGTCAATGGGCCGAGGGCCCACTCCAACAACACCGATACTGTCCCCACTTAACCACCTGCACAATCCTCAGGTGTGGGGTTTTATCACAAAAAGTCTCGATGTTAGTTAGAGAGGGGTATTTCTATTTAAAGCACTCTTCTCTTCTCCCTCTGTATGTGGGACTGGGGTTCCAACAGACCCCTACCATTCATATCCACGCTAAAAATCCGTGTCCCATGCGTGCCAATGCCATGCCCTTTTCCATGATAAATTAACAACAAATGTTTCGAGAAGAAAATTTAAATTGTGTGACAATTCATCCACATCATCCACTTTGCTTTCTAGAAAGCTTTTAATATTAATCAATTTCTCCCGCGTGGTGTACGCGTATGTGCATAATCTACATGCCCATCTTTGTTCCCTTCAATACTAAAGTGAAGGGCCACCCTTATACCTTCTAGGGGGAGACAACGTTCTTCCTTTCTTTTTCTACTTTTCCTTCATTCTCTTTGCGTGTTTATTCACATTTCCGAGTTTGGTACGTGTCCCATGACACCCACACTGTGGAGAAGGATAAGGACTACATAAAAGAGGAAATTGAGGAAATTGTACAGGGTCTTTCAATTTTAAACTAATCCGAATAATGGTCATTTAACTAAAAATTTGTAATCATTGGTCACTTAACTCATTAAATCGTGCAACTATGGGAATTTTTGTGAACTCTGTTAGAACTTCCGTTAAAATGAGTCATGTGTCACATATGTGAGGGTGAATCAAGAGGAAATTGTGGAAAACGAATTGAGAAAATTATAGTAGTGGTCCCTCAACTATAACCCAATTGGAGAAATGGTTCCTCAAGTTTAACCCAATTTGAGCAATGATCCATCAACTTTAACTTAATTGTAGCAATGGTCCTTCCAACATGACTCGCTTTGACGGAAGTTCTAACAGAGTTGTCGAAAATGATCACAAATGCACGTTTTGATGAGTTAAGGAGCAATGGTCACAGATTTTTAGTTGAGGGACAATTGCTACAATTTTCTTTACATAAAACGACGACGTATGTTCAACTTTTCTACATGACGCCGTATGTTTGATTTTTTAACACATCCACATAATATCAATAGTTGATATCTAGCCACAAAACTACTCATGATTGATACTAACATAACTCATATCACTAGATACCACTCAGACAATCACAGTGTGAAAAGCCTAAAGAACCATACAATTGTGATTAGGCCAAGAATCTTAGGGCATCTAACAAAGTCAAATTTTCTGTTCTTGTTTATGGTATCATTTGTAAGGTATCCCATGGTAATTTCCTGCGTTGCGATTCCTTCGGGAACAATGTTGATCCTGTGATCTGTCTATCTCCGTCTCATTCATCCATTCATTGTAATTGTGGCAATACAATTCAATTCCCAATCTTTTAGGTGGAAAGTCCCCGTTTTGTTTTTTAGGCACAAGCATGGAGTTTCTTGGAATCAGATTCCATACGTTGTCTCGTGCATTTTCATGAAATGTCAATAGAAAGGGTAAAAAGCGGTTATGCAACCAAGTAACAATGAGTAAGGGACAATGTGTCGAGAACATAACCCAATAAATTAAGTAATCATATAACAATGAGTACATAACAGTATGTCGAGAACACGGCTGTATAAACTAAGTTTAACAATATAAATGGTCAAGTGGTATACTGACACATTAAAGTTTTCTCCGATTGTACAAAGAAAAAGTACTATGAATGCTTAGGTGAGTCCCTCAAGTGTAAGGTTTTATCTCACAATTAATGGGCAAAGGAGATCATGACTCAACTAACCACGTAGAAAATTTAACTTGAGGGCGTGGAGCATATATATGATCGTTGGACTTTATACATGGCGAACCTGATTCTATAAAAATTTGAGATTCGACTTCGCTACCAATTAGCAATAGGGAGTGACCCAACTCTTTTTAAGTTCATATGCAAGATTTCCTAACATATTCTTCACAGCCTTGCGCACATTGTAGTCTTGAAATGAAAATGCAGGTGGAATAAAAATGTGTTTAATTTGTAAGTAGAAATATGATCCAGTGTTATTTCTTTTCATTGTAACTAAACTATTGTGAAGTTGAATCAGCTCAAATTATCAACTAATGGAAGTATCATTGTATGTAGAAAAAAAATGCTTAATTTATAGAGAATATGATTTATTTAGTACAACCATAATTTATCATTAATATGATAAACCTTATAATTAAGCACCAAATGTCACATGCCATGTTGTCTTCAAGGGCCTCCCATGATGTAGTTCTAGAATCACGGCCATTGATTTTTCTAGGATTTGACTCACGAATTATAATGAGGTGTGTTATCCACACACCCATATTTACTTCTCACACACTCTTTGTTAATTTTTGTCTTTTGATATTCTTTAATTCATCTGATCCAATGGTCGAAAATTAAAAGAGTATGAGAGATGTAAAAAGGGGTGTGTGGATATCACACCCCATAATTAATAAAAGGCGGCTTTACTTACCAATGTCGATCACATATAACTCCAATTTTGTTTTGTTTTGTTTTGTTCATCAAGCTAATTCTAGTCATACTTTGACTAGTTCCCCCTGCTTCTCCTTAGACGACAAGTTAGATATCTCCTTCCCCCCAACGAACCCAAAACACTTTATCGAGTCTATTTTTGTTCACTCTTCTAAACTTAAAAGAGATATTTTAATGTTTTCAAAATACAAACATTATATGTCATTACACAAGTAGAGATATATATTTTTCTCTACTTGTATAATGATATATAACACATGTGCTTTTATTATGAGAACATTAAAAAATATCTCCTTAACCCAAGCCCCAAAGTAACCATTGAATCTCGTCCAGATTTGCGCCACATGTCTATTTAACCAAACATGATTGCTTATCCCTTCAATATTATGAAAAAAATTAAACGAATTAAAAATAAAACTTACAAATTAAATATTTTATGCCTATATTTAAACTTACGATTGAACGATGTCAATATCAATCAATTATTAAATGAGGGACAATAAATAGGAAGGTTTTTTTTGTTTTTTTAATTAATTTAAGAAAATTGTTATTGGCACTTCAATTTTTAGAGTACTAATAACAGTTCCCTTAATTTAATTGTTTTTTTTTTTACATTAAAGATAATTAAAGAGTATAGACTACCCAGCTACTTAGTACTACGTCTAGTGAGATATTCATCTTCACTTGTAAGCGAGAGCTTTGAGATTCGATTTTCGCCATATGTGAATTTGAACCATATTATTACTAACTCATTTTGAGGTTATGTCCACCTCATCCCTTTTAGTGTAGATAATATCATTTGTTAAAAAAAAAAGTATAGACTAACCATAGTTTGGAGAGATTTCAATATGTCCAAGACACGAGACGATAAGCCGTATGTTATTATACAATTGGAAAAAAAGTTCTTTTTTATTCAAATGTCTCGCCAACTGCATAATAACATATAGTGTTTTGTCCCGTGTTCTGACTACATTGAAAAATCTCTCTATAATTTGAATGGGAAAATGATCACCTTGGGTTAGGAAGTGAGAAAAACGGATTCGATTATACTAAATTTGAACCAACTTCTAAAGTATTTGACAGAAAAACTAAATGGAGGCTGTTTTGGCTAGTCTTCCAAGCTGAAGGCAGATTTAGTTCAATTTTAATTTGGCCTAGGGGGCCTTGGTCAAGATTCACGGTTTCACACATACGGTTATATTTTGTAAATATAATCACCATCCCATCTATGTCAAAAGGTAATGACGTAGATATGATTTTCTTTTGACCATATTGGGAGGCTGGGAGCAGACTGCGCCGTGAGAGTGGAATCCGACGTGATTCCACGCATTCAAAAGGTCACAAAAGAAATGTTCTATCGCCTATATATGTGGACGTCAAGATTAAAAGTGAAAGCGTAACGTTCTTTAACTTCTTTTGCCATGGTTATCTTCGATAGAACTTTTGCATGCGACTTGTTCCGTACTTTTTTTACCATGCATAAATTGTAACGTGTGAAAAGATAGTGTGAAACAAGTTGCATATAAGTTTTTGTTTTTCATTCCAACACACCTAAATATCTAACTGTACTATAATTACATTCGATCATGTTCTTTTAGCAATTTCTCGTTCTTTCGGTTTTGTGCACGTTTTGTGCCAGATTACAAGTCAAGCCTTGGTTTTAGTTTTCAATATTGCATTTTGATGTAAGATATAGTTGGTTTATACACACTGTGTTTGGAGGGGCCCTTTAAGATTAGGGTCTGGTGCAAAGACACCTATTGCACATACCCAAAGCCGCCGCTGACGTCAAGATGGGAAGAACGTTCTGCATGCTGTAAAACACCAGTCAACAAAAAGAACCTATAAATAGGACCCATGACTCATCACTCCCCAGCTACAAAACAGTAGTATTATAACCACTAATTAAGATTAAGCCACCATTTCGAAACAATTAAGCACGTTGTTGTTGTATTTGTAGTTTGGTGGTGTTGTTAGGTTGCTCTCACGCACATTTTGGATCCCGTTGATAAACAAAGCTCAAAGCTAGCATAGCCTGGCAGATGTAGTGTGTTTGATAACACAAATCTGCCGGAGTAGCACGTTGACATCTTTACAAGCAGCTGGAGGACAAAACTTCAGTTAATCGCGGTGTCTTCTCCAACTTTGCAGGCCATATATGGGCTC